CTATCTCCCCCCCCCCCCCCCCCGGGGCACATAAGGTGGCTCCACCCTTACACCATGTTTTCAGGCACAATTTACCCCTAATCTTTCAACAAAACAGAACAAAGAAGCAAAATAACATTATTCTATCTGTTGCTCCTGCTTTTTTATCATTATTGCTCCTGTTTTCTTATTCTTTCGCATTTTCTTTTCTATTCAAAACTGCCAATTTTGCTTCCATTTCAAAAACATATCTCTTGCAAATCAAACGCATTATCTCCATTTGTTTGCATCATCGATTTGACCAATTGTGCTTGCACACATCTCTGCTTTTATATCACAATATAAATCAAAACAACATCGTTAAATATACAATAATGCTTGTTATCATCAAAATTTTTGCTTAAACATGCATAGGGTCAACACAGTTTGTCTCGTTAATATGGTTTGTACACTTTGTCTCAGTTTCGGGCCTCAAGAAGACCAACGCAATATCTTAGAGAGGGAAGTAATTGAGGAAAGCATAGAGGAATCTCAGGTCGTAGATGTCCGTACCTTAAAGCCTGTTTCAAGGCCCCAAGTAGTTATCATAAAAAGCAGCCCCACAAGGATAGAAACAGAGGAAATGGCCTGTCCAAGCCATAAAACCAACCGGGGTGGTTTTCTAGCTCGATGGCTAAACACTTGAATCCACGGTACATATATGCTCACTTGGATGGAAGACCCTTTTCTAGGGTCCTGCTTGACAATGGGATTGCGGTAACATCACGTCGGTTGCCAGTATGAAGAAACTTGATAAGAGTAAAGAAGACGTGATCCATATGGCTCTCACCACTAGTAACTTCACTGGAGGAGTGAACAAGACCAAAGGGGTATTTACTGTTGATCTGACAGAAGGCAACAAGGAAAGTGTTACACCTTTCTTCGTGGTCGAGATCACAACTCATAGAATGCTCCATTAGGCCGTGATATGATGCTCCGCGACCAATGCATCCCTTCCATTTTACCACAGTTATTTGGTTTTCTGGAATGGGAAGAAGTTGGAGGTCGTCTTTTGTATTCATTGCACGTTTTGCCATGGAATTGCGGAAGGAGCAAATTGGTAGGATTTTAGTGCAGGCATAATTTCGTGTGTTACACAAGTCGAGCCTTTTGAGTCAATTAGGTCACTGGTTTGAAGACGGGGAGGCCGAAGTCAAGTTGTGGAAGAAGCGTTGAAGACTACATCATTGAAATCCAACCCGGCTAGGTATGATCAGTTGACCTAGATACCTGATCGGTCCATATATGTCTTATGTTTCTACACTTGGAAAAACATTCTTGAAATCATATTTGGGGCCTATGTATGGTATGTGGATGAGTGATTCACCTTGTTGTTCAAACGGAGTCAAAATCCGGAAGGGATAGCAAACTCCAGAGGCTACCGCTGGATCGCTCAACTATTGTGTTGGAAAGAAAATCCAATTCCAGATGTCAATGCTCGAGCAGCTTTCAACAGGTGACGAGAGTGTTAACGAGTTTAAAGTGTGGAATTGAACTCCCTGGAATGGTGCGCTCTAGCCATAGAATTACCAACTCCGAACTCCACCTCTTAAATTTACTACTTCAATATATGTTTTTATAATGTGTGGGTTTATTTTATCACTAAAAAATTTATTATTTTTTTGTGTGATTTATTTATTATTTTTGTAAATATTTTTATCATTGTTATGATAATTATTTTTATTATTTTTTTTTGTATAAAAAATTACCAATTTTATATGTAATTTACTACTGTTGTAATAATTATTTTTAGCACTTTTCTTAGGTACTACAATAATAGTAAAAATACCTACAATAGTGATAAAAAAAAAACTTTCAAATATGATAAATGTCAATACGGTATCAATTTTTTTTTTTAATACCATAGAGTACTCTCTTTAAGCGTCGTGTTATCTTTTAGATGGAAGTTGTTTTGGTTAAATTCTTTAAGTTATTTAAAGATTTCATTAAAGAACCTTTAGAGGTGAAGGGAATTTGAACTCTTAACCTCAAGAAGACAAAGTTTTCACAAGGCAATAATCTACAGTGTCAATCTCTCCGTCATCAGTAACGGTGGCGGATCCACAATGGGGGCAATGGGGACAACTGCCCCCACTAGAATTTAAAAAAAAATTTAGAAGTATAATTTTAAAATTTTTAAAATTTACTAGAGATTTGCTCCCACTTAATNCAATCTCTCCGTCATCAGTAACGGTGGCGGATCCACAATGGGGGCAATGGGGACAACTGCCCCCACTAGAATTTTAAAAAAATTTTAGAAGTATAATTTTAAAATTTTTAAAATTTACTAGAGATTTGCTCCCACTTAATTTTTTTTTAAAAGATTTATAGGCAGTGATGATATTTTGACAAATACATGAGTCACTTATAAATGTCAAAAAAAATCCGTTAAAAGGCTAAATGCCTCTAATATATGTTAGATTAAATTATTTTGATTTGGTGTTTTGAATAGTTTTATTGTGATTGATTAAATAATTCTTATACCAAAGTTCAGTTTAATAAAATAGTTATAGTTTATGTTTGTTTCAATTGGTTGTTAAAATTTAACTATATATGATTGAATCAAATTTTTTTGGTTAGGTGATTAAGTCTTATAGATGAATTTATAGTGAACTTTTTTGTTAGCTCTTTTTGTATAAAACTCATATATATGAGTTATTATTTTAATTGACATTCTATTAATGAAATTACACTTTTGTGAATAATAGTAATTTTAATATTCATATGATTTAAGTTGTCCTCAACTGGACAAAATTTCTAGAACCACCCTTGTCCGTCATACGTCAATATTGTGGTTAAAACCTACTCATATCTTTGGAATCAAGTCATAGGTCGAGTAAGTAATCAACACAAACTTATATTAAAAAATAAAACAATAAAAAAAAAAGAAGAAGACATGATTGAAGATTTCAAGTTCAGAATTATCGCAATCACATCTATTAAGTTTGGCAAGTGGACGTAGGGACTAATTCACCGTAACGGTAATAAGGCTTAAATCGATGTCATAAACTTGATTCACCTTTCACCTTGGTTTCGTCATGTTAAAACCGTATTTTAAAACCGCAATTGAAGATTTTGTATAAACTACAGTCAGGCGGGCCTTAACGTGGCTTGAGCTAGCTCATGTAAATGAATTGGAGCTAGGTCAGAAGATGGCGTTTGCCATGATTACCGCAGATCAGACATATGTTCAGTTTTAAAATTACATGTAACTTTAAAATATAGTTCAAATGATAATAGAGACAAATTGTAAAATCATACGTCCTAAATTTAAATTCCTAATAATTATTTAGGATCACGCCATGAAAAATTTATCTCTCATAAATACTATAGTCTCGACGTAGATAACCTGCTTTTGACTAGACTAAAAAAAAAATTAATCGAAATGTACATAAACTGACTCGGACATTTCTGACCGTTGAACAAAAAAAAAATTCACCTGTTAACTGATGATAAATCCACATATTGGGTACTTTTGGACCTCTCTGTTGTGAGTCTTAGTTCTGCCCAATAACTCTCGGACATTGCATTCGAAAAAGAGGACAGTTGTGAAGTCTATTGAGCCAAGCTTCGAAAGCAAGCCAACACATTTTGACAAAAATCTTTTGTGCACTAAATAACAATCTGAGGATATGCAATTCTCAGTTGACTCTTGCCCACANGCTCTCATAAATACTATACTCTCGACATAAATAACCTGCTTTTGACTAGACTAAAAAAAAAATTAATCGAAATGTACATAAACTGACTTGAACATTTCTGACCGTTGAACAAAAAAAAAATTCACCACCTGTTAACTGATGATAAATCCACATATTGGGTACTTTTGGACCTCTCTGTTGTGAGTCTTAGTTCTGTCCAATAACTCTCGGACATTTGCATTCGAAAAAGAGGACAGTTGTGAAGTCTATTGAGCCAAGCTTCGAAAGCAAGCCAACACATTTTGACAAAAATCTTTTGTGCACTAAATAACAATCTGAGGATATGCAATTCTCAGTTGACTCTTGCCCACACAAACCGGACTATCATGGTAGTCCAGGACTGCGAGGATTACATCTGACCAATATGCCTACTCCAATCAACACAACCAGCAAAAAGAGGAATTAAAGAACCAAAAGGCGCAATTCCACACGATATAAAGACACATACATTAAGAATTATCAGATCCATTCCTTGGGGTTGATACAAGCATCCAATAGTTTCCACTCTTCGCTCCCTTCTTCCGGTTGCTGCATACCAAAGGACATTATCCTCTCATTATGAGTTCACACTTTTCATTTTCATTTAACAAAAAAACCAGACTTTGACACACAAAGATCAACAGTGATGAATAAAAACTTACATGGTCGTATTCCCACCGGGCAGTTAGTGGAAGAGAAACAAGAATACTCTCAATCCGTCCTCCTGTCTTGAGACCAAATGTTGTTCCCCGATCATAAACCTTCAATTTGAGGGAAAAACAAAAAAGAAACAGAAAGCCAAGTTAGAAGATTCGCTAATGTTTACGTCTCTGTATGTTCAGAACAGATTTTAATACCAAGTTAAATTCTACGTAGCGTCCCCTTCGCAATTGCTGCCATGCCTTGTGCAGATCTGTATACGGCACATCCTTCCTCTTGTTTATAATGGGTATGTATGCAGGAACCACAGAATTGACACATTCTGGAATTCAACAATGAATTTGTAAACAATTAGAATAGAATCCAGAGAACCCATCCATGAGACTTTTTTTATTGAAGGCAGAAACATTTAAAAACACCATATTGTCAGGGAATTACCAGTTGCAAAGGAGAGAAGCATCTCCTGATCGTAGTCATTAAGATCATCAAAAAATATACCCCCTAGGCCTCGCCTCTCACCACGGTGCTGCATACAGTAATTACACCCTATATAAAACAAAATGCATACTTGCCATTTTCATATCTCAACCAAGTGTAGGGTTGATTAAAAAATCACTCCTGCAACTTATGGTCATTTCCCAATTAACCCCCTCTACTTTTAGTTTCAACAAATTGGCCCCTTTCAGTTTTAATATTTATCAATAACTCCCGCCCTTCATTCTCGACCATCAAAAGTGAAGGAAAGTAGTCAAGTGATCTCAAATTCGTTGGAAAAACAATTATCCTTGGTCGGTTTTTTCATCGAAATTGGACAAAAATCCCCACTCCACTTCCCTGAGCCACAGCCTCCAAAACCCCCTCATCCTCCCCTTACCCCTGGCTGCCAGGTTTCAAAACCCTATTTTTGCCTTTCCCTCCAACAAAACCCCCATCGGAAACAGTTACCCAGACAGCAAACATGCGCACATTGAAGATCATGAGGTCCTCACTCCCATCATAGCTCTCTCTCCCTCTCTATCTATCTATATCCAGATTCTAGACATTTAGATATTTAATTGTGAAAGGATAGAGAAGTCTTTGCAATACTTTATAAGAGCAAAATATAGATTCAAAAATTTTTCATTTTAAGGTACTGTTATTAGTAGTATAGATATAGATGTAGATCTGAAGCTTTGACGGGTAGTTTGTTGAAATCAAACTTTTGAAGGGGACAATGTGTTATTAACCTCTAAATAAATAAATAATAAAGCACCACAAAAAAAAAGTTTCTACCAAGTTGAGACTAAAGCATAACAAATGTGCAAACAATTCTTTGATATTCGATCAAGTTAGGATGTAAATATAATTGTGATGACATATCATATACATAGTCAGCCCACTAGGGGGCATGGGATAACCCACTTGAATTCCTATTGAGTCGTGTGAATCACATGGCAGTACCAGTAATTTCACATAAATTTCAAAGTTTTAGCCTTCCTTACCTTTTTGGGAACTTCAACTCAGATCAAATCACTACCCTATACGAACATCATCAGCTATTCTATATTATGACACACGAAACATAAATAAACCAATTTACTATAAATATACGAACTTACGAAATCAAAGACTAAAAATTCAACAATATCGTACACACTGAAACTATATGAAGATGATACCTTCACATGGAACCACTTCCAATATTTCTAGTGTTATCTAATTCTATATTTTTTAATACAAAACAAAAATATCAATGCACATATGCTGTATGGAAAGATTTGGTAAGTATAGTTGGTCTGCAGAAACTAATCCTTGCAGTTCAAAGCATAGGAAGGAAATGTGAGTTTCGTCTTTTTCTGATTAAAATTTGACATCATAATAAATTAGAATATTTACATCATGCTTTTTAGGCTGCAGGTGTGAATCACTAACCTCAAGAACGATGGTGGTATGATAGTGAAATACCAAGTTAAAGAGAATGATATTGCTATGATATATACCATAACAACTGTAGGTACACTGTTACACGATATAAGAAATTTTTTTGAATCAAAAGTAAACAATTAATATTTGAATCAAAATACAATTAACTAGAAATTAACGTACAAATAGATAACTAATGAATGTTCTTCCTTTGCATCATATGAAACTAGGATACAATAAGAGAACCGGAGATATGAGAAAGAGAACTTGGTGTTGACAATTTTGGCCTCCAACTCCTGAGAATAACTCAAATCCTTATATAGGCACAAGGATTTGTTAGTCCAATCTGAATATTCTTGGCTATTTGCTTCACTAGTACTATTTTGAATTAACAAAGTTTTGTCCTTAGGACTTTTACTTAATGCATGAACACTCAGATAAATCTCTTGAATATATTAAAGGGTGGTCTATCCTTATGCTTTGATAAATCTCTTGAATTTATCTAGTCAATTTCCCGTAAGTTTGGTTTCCTTTGGCACCTAACCCAATAGACCACCCTGAACGTAGGGTTCCTAGTGTCCCAAGTGTAAGTCCTAGTAAGAGGCAGACGAGAGGAAATAGGGAAACACAAAGAAAGGGTATGTATAGGGTCACTTGTGGAGAACAAACCTTACAGAAAAATTGGTTAGTTAAATAAAAAAGATTTAAAAAATGAGTAGGTTATTCAGATCTAATTCATCAGTTAGCTCCAAAACTATAGTTCCTTCTATACCTTCAGTGGTAAAGGAAGAAGAACATGAATTTCATGAGTTAAAATTAGATTGGACTAACTGGAATATACCTGAAGTACCGGTAAAAAAAATATACAGAACAAGTTGACTACCAATAGCCTTCAAGTCAGAGCTTCAATTAAATACCATTGAACAAGTTTATGCCATTACCAAAGAGCATGAAACATGTCAATTACTTATTAGAGAATTAGTAAAAAAACATAGGTCAAAAGGATATAATTTTATCCACGTCAACTCAGTACAAGTCACAGTTAAACCATTAAGAACTCGAGGAATTAATTCCTCAATCTTATTATGTCTAAGAGATGCTAGGTTTAAAAACTATAGCCCAAGTATCATAGGTATAATGGAGTTAAACCTTTATAATAGGCCAGTACACTTTAATTGTTTCCCAGACTTTACTTTAAGCCCAAGTGAAATTAACTTATTAAAAGCTTTAACCCTAAACACAAAAATATCAGGAGAGTACACCAACATGGATGAAGATAGTCAATCCATAGTATTGATTTACCGAAACTATTACAAATGCATAACAACAAATCTGAATTTCATGCATTAAGTTAAAGTCCCAAGGCCAAAACTTTGTTAATTCAAAGTAGTACTAGTGAAGCAAATATTCAAGTTCCCAAGCAACTCTACCAGAAAGATATAAATCTTCTAACCAATTGGGTTCTTGAGAATGAAAGTTACCACCAAAATAACAAAATACTACCGTCAATCTAGATTAAATCCACAAATATCTTGATGGATCAATAAGAATCTCCTTTGATTATAAAAGGTCAATTAAACCATTTAAAATTAATGAAGGAAGAAAGTCTGAATCTGCGATCGCTAGTATAACTAAAAGAGATCAAGACTTGGCAAAAGAGTTACAGAAAAAGTTAAAATTGAAAGGCATAGATGCCACTTTACAAATCAGTAAATCATGTTAAACCATGCTATACCACTCGGTCAAAATTTTCAAAAGAAAATTAAGATGAAAACTCATCACCTTCTCCTTCGATGACTGACATAGAAGGTAACATAGTAAATAAACAGTTACTAACAATATCTAAACCATACTTGTTAGATGTTGATAGGTTATATAAACAAATCCAAAAGACGAGAGTACAAAAAGTAAATACACTAACCATAAGCAAGATAAAATATTTGTTAAATGGACCAAATTCATGAATAAAATAAGATGTGATATTTATTTAATTGATTAGTGAGAAAACCATTACAAATCAGTTAAGATAGTAACAAAACATAAATGGAAGACTGAAGATGCTACGATAGTATCATCCAACCATCCTCCAACAGAAACCATACTAATTAATCATATGGATTCTGAAGTAAAAGCCTCAACATTCAAGTTACCCTTTGGCAAGGATCAAATTATCGTTTCGAAAAGGTTGAAACATCCGAAACATTTTCGTTTCCAAAGAGACCAAAACGAATCAGTGATGAAATCGAAATTCTAATATTTCGAGGTGTTTCATAATGTTTTGAAATGTTTTGTTATATTTCAATGCATTTGCACAATTATTTTGGAATGTTTCAAGATATTTTGGTATATTTCAATTAATGTTTTGAAAAAATAATTTTTTATTTTTTTATTTTTTTCATTCTATTTTCGAAACTGGTCGAAACATTTCCGAAACAAAATTTTGATCCTAGGTGACCAAAACAAAATTTTGATCCTTATCCTCAAGTACTGAACTTGAAAAAAGAATAATTGAACAAAACAACTTCACCAAGCAATGTTTAAAAACATTGGTAAACAACTAGATAAAATAAAAAATAAGATTAATGACTTAAAACCATCAATAAATAAAAAATTAGAGAAACCTCTAATTCATTTACTAGAAGATAGAAGTAACCTTGGTATCTCAATTAATGACAGAAAAAGACTTCAAAAAATTGAAGAAGTTTTGCAAAAACTAGAACCACCAAAAGTTGAACAAGCAACACCGCAAGTTACTGCAATTCATCAGAATTCTAAAGATTCTAAAACTAGTAAAGAAACCAGTGAATCACAAAGTTCTACTGATTTTGAAATCAGAGTTAGAAGAACAGTTTTCTAGTCAAAATATTAATAAGATAACATTTTCCAAAGTTAATTCCAAGGATCAAAATTTCGTTCCGGTGATTGTTTCGGTCACACAAGAAACAAAAATGTTTCGATGTGTTTCAGAAACGTTTCGACCCGTTTCGAAAACAGAATGAAAAAATAAATAAACATTTTAATAATTATTTTTTCAAAACATTGGTCTAAATATACCAAAATATTTTTAAATACCTTGAAGTATTAAAATTTCAATTCCATCACTGATTCATTTTGGATGTTTCGACCATTTCGAAACGATATTTTGATCATTGATCAATCCTACTAGTCTTCCAAAGAATTGGTATACTAGGCCAACACCTCCTGACCTTCAGTGTGAAGAAAGGAACATCAGTAATCAATTCTCAGTCCAATTCAACAAACTCTATGAATGAAACATAGATGGATTAAGTGAACAAAAAATCTTGAACAAAGTTAATCACATGTCTATGGTTATAAATAGTTACATTAACAATCTTGATTGCACTGAACCAAAAATTGTAGATCTTCTAACTTCTAGGTTCACAGGAATGTTAAAAATTGGGTGGGATAATTATCTCACTGAAGAGTCAAGAGATAGTATCCAATATGTTGTCAAATTATATGAAGCTTAAAATCCAATCTTTGACGAAAGAATTGGAAGAGCAAAACTAGATGGATTAAACACTTTAATCTATACAGTAATCAAACATTTTGTTGGTACACCAAGTAACATATCATCCAGAATCCATGACCAACTTAGTAATCCTTTCCAACCTTAAGTGATTTCAGATGGTATAAAGATATATTCATATCAAGAGTAATGTTCAGAAAAGACTATGAAAAATCTTTCTGGAAAGAAAGGTTCATTAATGATTTGCCTAATCTTTTTGCTCACAAGATTAGATAAGCATTAAGTAAATCAACAGGAATCATTGAATATGATCAACTAACATATGGTGATATTATCAGTACAATTCAAAAATAAGGATTAAGAATGTGTATTGATATGGAAATTAGTAAACAAGCTAAAAATGATAAAAAAAAAAAAAAAAAAAAANATTTAATTGATTAGTGAGAAAACCATTAC